TGTGACAATAAATTTGTACAAGTACTTCCAAGACTGGGTCCACTCAACACTCAAACTGAAGGGTTTCTCCATTTAGGGAGTATTTTTAAGTGTTGCCGTTGATAACCTGCAACCCAGAAAATGTCCAATCCAGTGAACAGCAGAGTCCTAGGCTCTGACCTCTGGCACGTGTGCTTTACCATCTTCCCTTTGGATGGTGCTTGTGAACTTTAGGTAGGGTTTCACCTTTTCAGTGCAAACACAGATTGAAGAATTGTTCCTTCTGAATTTCCATCTTTGGAAGTTTCACTGAGTAATTACCTCCTTCAAAAACTAAAGTATACTTTTGCTGTCATTTTAAGATAGCTTAAATGATAGCTTCTTTTCATGAAGAAAAATGAAGTGGACCTAACACCTGCATTAGCAAACACAGCCATGACAATCCTTGTTCCCGCAGATCTATTACTGATAATTCCTCTTACAATGTTGTTTGTTCAGAAATAGTGAAAAAATTCTTCTTTAAATTATTGCAATAATAAAAATCTATTTTCGTAAAGATGTTTCTTATTTATTGTTTTAAACAAGATGTTTTCCGGAAGAAAAGATCTTTATATGCTATCCAACATCTGCCTGCAAAATTAGCAGAGGAAACCAAGAGTTGCCTCAGATAAAATGCTGCATTACTACTATGCATCCTAGCTTATCTAGAAAAATATCAGAACTTGTCAAACACTCAAAATACTAGGCAAGTTTGAAAATACACTTCACAGTTCCAAATATCAGCACAGTTCTTTTCTAGCTGCCCCTGAGGTTGTGACCATTACTTACTGCTGTGTCCAGCCAGAGGTCTGTCATGAGTTGTAGCAGATAAAAGCTTGTAAATTACAGAGCTTTGGGTCAGACTTTTCCTTTTAGACACAGATATCACCAGCATCCCCTAGTCCAGCCAGAAGGAGCATTTATGGAACCAGAGTAACCTATCATTTCACATTACAGAAGGTATCAAATTTGGGGCATCTATGAAAAAAACATTGTATTTAAGTATAAGTAAAATACCACCACACAAATTTGTAAAATGTTTAAGGAAAGTCATGTAGCTGGTTTTATAGTAAATCATAGGGCAATTTGGACTAGGGACAGAAAAATCACAGGACTATTTTCCAGTTATTTTTTTTAAATAAGAGGTATGCTTCTCAAAATTCAGACAGGCCTTCCTTCTTTCTGCCCTACACTACATTCTTCAACCTGACATACGACTTCAGTCAAACAATCCTGTAGAACAGACTCCTTTCCTGAAAATACAGTTGTTAATTCCATCCTAACTATAACATCAAAGCAGAAAGCAACTGTTCCCTTCAATCTACTCTGTTTTTCACCAGTGCCTATCTTACATATTCAAGCTAAACACTTGATTTAAAAGACCTGGTCTCTGCTATAAATCCTTCCTGATATAATACTTCAAAGAATCACAATCCTAACTGACATTTTTATACCAACAGAAGGAGACTTTATATTTCATATAAGAAGCTGGGAAAGTTACAGTGGAAGAAAGTCTTTTGCTGGTACAAATTGTAGCTGTATTGCAGATTTTGCTAATACAGGGATATCGACAAGTCCAGCTAGAATTGGCCTTATTAGAGGGAAAAGACCAGCATGCAAAAAAGGTATAGCCTAAGTTATTTTATTCTGAATGCAAATACCCTACAGCCAACCATGCCAGAGTTACAGACATAAAAATGTCAGGATACATTTGAATCAGGTCTTAGAAGTATTTTAAATGGCATTAGCTACCACAGCTTAAAAACAAGGATCAATTTTGTTCTGCCTGTGTTCACCTCACAGGTGGCACCCAAAGTAATCTGCACACTTCAGCTGTAAGCTCCTGAACTCTCACGAGCAAAGCTATATGGATGTTCAGAGGCAAGGCAGAGGCAGCTAGCACCTTGAACATTGCTCTGGGAGCAGGTTTTACTACTGCAATGAACACTTTACATAGGAGCACTCCAGCCATTTAAAGAATCTATCTTCACACTACTACTTAGATCTAGGCAACAGTCTTCTGATTAACACTTAGAAAGAAAATATGCCTGCTGCTTGCTAATGGAAACTGCTTCGGTGTCTTTTCCTAGTATACCACCATTAAAAACCCTCCGTGCTGGAAAGGAAGAAGGATGGGCTGATCAAAAAGCAGTAAAAGTTCTGGATTCCTCCCGCTCATGTTGTTATTTTTACATAGCCCTGAAAGCCACAGGCACTACAAAGAGAAAAAGACTTTCTTTTTTTCCTCCAAAGGAAAAAATAGTTGAAAAATATGCAAATTTCCCAGGTAGCTGAGGCAATCCCGAGAAAATGAAACTATTCCTTTGAATGTTTAAGGAACGTTAGCCTAAATCTTAATTGTGGGTTGACCATGGATGGACACTAGGTGCCCACCAAAGCCACTCTGCCACTCCCCTCCACAGCTGGGCAGGAGGCCTGGAAAATAAGATGAAAGCTTAGAGGATCGAGTTAAAGGCAGGGAGAGATCTCTTGCCAAGTACCATCACGGGCAAAACGGACTCAGCTTTGGGAAGATGAACATGACTTACTACCCATCAGAGTATGGTAAGGAGAAAATAAAACACTCCTCCCTTATTTCCAGGCTTTACTCACGAATTCACCATGTCTCTCAGCGGTGCAGGGAGGCAGGGAATGGGGGTTGTGGTCACCACACATCATCTCTGCTGTCCCTTCCTCCTCAGGGGGAGGACTCCTTACACTCTTCTCGGGCTCCACTGTGAGGTGCCTCCCACAATAACCAGTCCTCCACCAACCTCTCTAGCACAAGTCCTTCCCAAAGGCTGCAGTTCTTCAAGAACTAAGCATGGCTCCCTTCCACAGGGTGCAGTCCTTCAGGAACAGACTGCTCCAACATGGATATCCACAGTGTCACCAGTCTGGCCAGCAAACCTGCTCCAGCGTGGGCTTCTCTTTCCGTGGGGCCACAAGTCCTGCCAGGAGTCTGCTCCACCACAGGATTACCATGGGGTCACAGCTTTCTTCTGGGCATCCACCTGCTCCAGCACGGCATACTCCACGGGCTACAGGTGGATCTCTGCTCCCCCATGGACCTTGATGGGCTGCAGGGATCAGCCTGCCTCACCATGGTCTGCACCACAGGCTGCAGGGGAACCTCAACTCCCAGAGCACATTCTCCCCCTCCCTCTCCACTGACCTGGATGTCTGTAGAGTTGTTGCTCTCACATACTCTCTCTCTGGCTACAATTGCTTTTGCACAGGTTTTTTTCCCCTTAATATATTATCCCCAAGGCTGATGAGCCGGAGCCAGCTGGCATTGGCTCTGTCAGATATAGGGGAAGCTTTGGGCAGCTTCTCATAGAACCCACCCCATTGCCCCCTCACTGCCAAAACCTGGCCATGCAAATCCAATACAGTCAGAGATGTTTTCACGTTTAGAGATGCTCCCCTCATCACAGAAGGAATAGAGAGAAATTGCCAAATGCTGGTCACAGAGAGCAAGACTTTAAGATCATTTTCCAGTGCCCAACTTGAGCCAGTTCTGCAGAGCTGAACACAACCTGGACCAGCTGGGACAATGAGATGGACCAAAAACTGTGAAGAAGAGCTCAGGAGGAGTGGAGAGATGGAAGACCCGATACTTCCCAACTACCTGTTTTAGTTGGGATGCTAAAGCATTAACCCACACAGGGCTGGGACAGATTTGAAGAAGTATAACAGAAACTGGCAGGATATGTGGAAACAACTGAAGGGATGTTTGTGGGTGTAAAAAACTAGATCTAGTCAAGAAAAAGCCATGAATACCTCCATAGGAAGCTACCAAGAGCCACACTTGAGCTCTTAAGAGCTCGCAAATCTCCTTCATAGCAGCAGCTGGGCTAAGTGCAAGATCACACTGGGGCAGGGAAGTAGAGGGGGCTTTTGCTCTGCAAAATGAAGAGAGACAAAGCTCATCCCTCTGTTCCTTCTGTGTCTGAGAACACAGTAAGTGTAGATAACAACCATACAGGCTGTGGCAGAACAATGGAGAGACCAGAGGCTTCCTTTTCCAGACCACTTGGTAGGCAATTCTTCTTTGGCACATGCCAGGCTCATGAATTTTACAGCAATACTTTGCAGCAAGAATACTTAACTAATCAAAAAGTCTTCTGTGTTTCAGGTGTGCCAGGAAGGAAGCAAACTTACTAACACTCAAGACAATTCCCTTCATTTTCTTCTAGTTTTTCCCCTCTCTCACATCATAGAACAATTCTGTTGAATTAAAATATACACTAGCTTCCACTTATTTTACATTCCTATTCAACAGGACAATATTAAGGCCCTCTACAGTTTAAGAAAGCTTGAAAACACTGCCTTGACTGTCTTCCACTCTTTTTGAATGAAGTTTCTCACTGTATAAAACCAAAATAGGTCAATTAACCAAACTGCCAAACCCAAAATTCTCCATTTAAATATACTATTTTCTAACAGTTAATTTTTGAAAATGTTTAAAAGAAAATACATTTTTTCCATGATGAACCTGATAATTTGAGATAATTAGCTCTGCGCAATATAGAGAACTCTGAACACCTCAAGCACTTAAAGTGTTGGAATATGGGGTGAAAGAAAAGTGGCAATGACTTCCCAGATTAATAATCCTTTTATTATTAACATTTAAGAATGATGGTTTCAGAAAGTTCATTTTAATAAGTGTCCCCATAAACGTGGGTATTTTAAGATTCAAAAATACCCAGCTTTTACAATTTCAAGTTTCAGTGCTCTTAGCTACAGAAACAGGAGCATATAATAGTGAATTCCTCCAACATACTCAATTCAGAGATTTGCAAAGGCAGAAGGAATACTAGAATTATCAAAGTTTGACCTCCTGTATAACATGGGTTTTGGGCTTCCCTGATTTAACCTCCATTTCAGTCCAGTAACTGGGGGATTTTCTTTAAGAAAAACGCCAATGAACACAAGAATGTTTCATAGAACATAACCAACAAAATCAGCAAGCAGACCTACTACTTCTTGAGTTTCTTCTGAGCAGCCTTTTTCTTGACCATCTGTAACCTTTTCATAGCATTGAGCTGAGATTCCTGAGAAGTTGGGCCCTTCAGGGAGGCTGACTGATTACCAGTATCCGCGGCGGTTTTACTCGTGCTGCCCCCGCTGTTCCCCGAATTCCCGCTGTTGCCATTCCCGCTGCTCCCCTGGCTGCTGGTGCTGGGAGCAGCACTGCTGGGACTCGGGAGACCCACTTTGCTGACGTTGTCACTGCTCACCGAGCGGCTCAGGGTGGTTTTCCCCAGTGTCAGAGGTGGAGGAGGTTTCAGCTGAACAGGGTTTGTGCTGTTGTTGGCAGAAGCTATTTTCGACCCTAGTCCTGTTTTTGAAGTCGCCAACCCTGACAAACCCACAGGTTTCTGGTTATTTGAAGAAGCTGCCGGTTTCCCACTGGCACTCTGTGCTGTTGACCCCAGTTTGGCAGTTGAAGGATTGGCAGAGGAGGTTTTGGCTGCAAAAGCAGCCCATCCTGTAAGGCCACTCGTTGCTGAAGAGGAAACACTTGTACTGGCAGAGTTCCCCGAAACTGCTGCTGAGGTCTAAAATAAATAAGCATTCTTATTATAGTAGCATCTATTTGTGCAACACATCACAGTAGGAATACATCGAGCCTCTATTACAGTTCTTTTCCCAGGATCACCCAATGGACAATGTTTCATCCCTGGTCACTGCAGTTGAAAGTACTAACATGAACAAGAAAGGATGCCAGGTGCAGCCAATTTTTAATCACCCAGCCATATGGAACAAATAATACCTTTTCTCCTCTTTCTTCCATACAGTTAGCAGGCTACTATATAGCATTGTGAACCCTCCATGAATGATAAAAGCCCAAATTTGTGAACTATATAAAGGGTGGTGGCTTGCCTTCCTTTTTTTTTACTGCTGTTCCCTGGTGTCACTTTTTAACAAGATGACAGATGCTTGGACAAAAATCAGACATTGAGCAATTTATTATTGCATTTCTTACAGTCTTTTGGTCAAAGTAGCAGTATCTAAACTGTTTTCTTTCCCTCTCTTGGTTCTTAGCAGCCTGTACCACAGAGAAAATTAAAAAAAAGAAAAGAAAAAGAAGTCACTGGACTTCTTTCCTGTAGGTCTCTTCCCATTCAGGTACTGTGAAACACAAACCTTCTGCACACATGGGTTCCCTTGCTTGCTCTGGTTATTAAACCAGAGTTACAGCAAATGGCAGAGTCAAAATGAAAACTAAACCCCTCTATTCAAGTAATATCCCTTTTATAGTATTTCCAGACAGTTTCTAAACAGTAAAGATGATGGATGAAATCAGGCCTTAGGTCTTATAATCCATTTAGGCAAATAAATAAGTCTGCTGAGGTGTAAAAAGTATTCACAAGTATAAGAGCCTGAGTAATACCCATCATATTATTCATGATGGTTTGCATCCAGGTAGAGCAACGGCAAACATAACTTTGGAGGCGTGAATGGTTGCTTTCATTTTGAGTTAAAGCTGTGTTTTCCTAGGTAAGGGTCATGCTTTATTAGACTACTATGTTGTTTATTATACTGCCTCTGGTTTACCACCTTTGAGCAACTTGTGGCAGTATTTTAACTGGGGAAAAACAGAAATACGAAGCAACATAGAATCATAGAATAAAATCACAGAATGGTCTGGGTTGGAAAGGACCCTGAGGGTCATCGAGTTCCAACGCCCCTGCCCACACTACCCACTAGATCAGATTATATGTAAGAAGCAGTAGTCTCCTAAACTAGATCTCAGAGTCAGCTAGAGTTTCCCTGTTATAGACTAATAGAACTGTCTAGGCCAGAAAAGACCTTCAAGACCATCAACTCAAAGTGTAAACCCCATCCTTACGAGAAGTCCCTCTCCAGCTTTCCTGTAGGCCCCTTTAAGGTACCGAAAGGCTCTCTGGAGCCTTCTCTTCTCTGTGCTGAACAACCCCAGAGCTCTCAGTCTGTTTTCACAGGAGAGGCTCCAGCCCTTCCCAGCTCCTTTGCAGCCTCCTCTGGACCTGCTCTAACAGGTCCATGTCTTTCCAGTGCTGAGACAGCTGGACACAGTACTCCAGGCAGGGGCTCACAAAAGTGGAGTAGAGGTGCAGAATCACCTCCCTCGACCTGCTGCTGGGCCAGCTTCTTATGATGCAGCCCAGGATATGGCTGGCCTTGTAGGCACATTTTTAAAGACTTCTGTTTATATAAAATATCTTTAAAAAAATCCATAGAGTCAATTCTGTTCTTTCCCTTGTAACATAAAAATATAGTCAAGAACTGGATGTTTCAGGGACTTATTGGTGAAGTGAGGGTTTTTTCTCCATTTTTTCAGTGTTAATGCTATGGTGCTGCTCAGTCCACAAGACTGTTTTCATTCATGATTCTTGTAAGAAAAGATTATAATCTATGCACTGAAACATAAACTTTTCCTCTGGCAAATTTAAACTGACTTACCTTGACTTCTGTTCTCTTGAATGCTAGAAAAGCTGGTGGGGTCTCAGGTTTTAACTTAATTTCTGGCTTCTTGACCAATGGATCCTTCAAAGCTGGTGCAACTGAAACCACTGCAGGAGCTGGTTTTTGAGGTGGCTTTTGTGTCTTCTGAGCCTGTATAGGTGGTAGGAAAAAAAACATGCCAAATTAGTTACGGACCCTATAACATTGACTGTTTTGACTGTTAACAAAAAGCATTAGCATTTCAAGATTGCAATCTAGTCTTTACAACTTCAAGTTTAATAGTCCATGAGAAATGAGGTAATAGGGGATGTGGAGACAGTGCTGGTTATGGTATTGGAGACAGGGTCCAGCCACAAAGCGTCCTGAATAGAACTTGCTATTTCAGCGTGGAAAGAGTTGCAGCGTTGACACTTAGAGAACAGGAAAGCACTGGGCCTTTACAGGAATAAGGCAAAGGCAGGTGAACTTGCAGAAGAAAGGGACATAATCCAGCAGTACTGGGATGTGGGCTGCAAGAGCCTGCTAAAAAGTGGCAGGCAAAATGGCAGAAGTCACACCAAAACAAAAAAAGGAAATGTCATATTGAAGGCAACAACTAAATGGCTGCAATGGCTACCCTGTGCAGGAACTGACCTTCAGCAAACACTCCTCTGAGTTCAAAGGCCTGATGATCATCAGAACAATCATGTATTTCAGTCAGTGATGATAATTCCTAGGCCAGGATGTTACAATGCCTTTTTTTCTTGTTTCTTAGTAGTCATTTCAACAGATAACAAATTGCTAAGTTATTACAGAGCAGTTTCAAAACACATTTTCTGCTGTATAAAAGGGTGTGATTTTAAAACTTCAGAACTAAAGTCACTAATGTTTCATGCACCCAAAGGTGCTGTCTTATTCTCATGTTTGTTTCTCATAATGAGACAAGCGGGATTCCAGTGGGATTCTGTTTAGTCAAGAAATTAACAAGCAGATCAATCAAAAAAAAATTTTTTTTTCTTTTTTAACTGGAATATGCTACCCTCAGCTTGGGTTTGAGCCTGAGAAAACTCAGTGCTTAAGATCTGGACTGAAATTTGCAGTCTTGTCCTACAGGAAAGCAACCATTAATGTCCAAAGCTGAGAAGACAACTAAAACTGTAGGGCTATTTGGTACACATGTGCTAAAAATGGAGTATCACCCGAAATTAAAAAAAAAAAAAAAAAAAGGTTTCAATTGCTGCCTGCCAAGTAGGAAATAATCCTATCTCACTCTTCTTCGCTCAACTTTGTAATTTTTAAAAAACTTTTTTCAAGAAGCACATTACAGAATGCTCTTTGAGATGCTACATTAAAAAACCCCACACCTGCAGCAAGGGAAGCACCGCTGAGAAAAACAGTTCTCCAACACGCTTCCAAGGATTTTTCTAACTCATAAAATACTCTCACGTAATAGAAACAGCCTGCTGTATTCAAATAGTGCTCACACGAGACAAAAAACTGACTCCTACCATTCTCTTCATCTGCCTGGTACAGCGGGCACAATACCATACAAGTCGAGGATCATTCACTTCCTTGTCTGTCACCTGAGGTTTATGGCAATCCTGGTGGTAGAGATTATGGCACTCCTGACACTCCACTAGCTGATTCACAAAAGTAACTGTCATTTGCCTGCAGAGCAAATAGTTAAGAACAGATTATGGAAGAAAGCACTTAGAGGATTATCCAATTGTTGAAAATTTTGCAAGGCTTAAGATAAAAAACTAAAAATATTTTTGCTTTCACATATATTTTCTACCTGTGGCAAATGAAATGTATTCCTTCTCTTCCTGTATCAGCTCTTCCTAACTAATATTCTAGAAACTCGATATTTTTAAAGGGTAATTTTTTTCAAGAATATCTAAAACTTCCATGCTATTAAACAAGCGTATATGACAGTTTTGATTTCTCTGTTTGGTTCTTATATTAGGAATGTAAGTCTTGCCTGCTTTGCTTCACCTGGGCATTTTATGGATACATCACTCTATGACAATAAGACTTCCTCATTACATTAGCAGATGAAGGCCTAGTCTCCATTTGGAGAATTTTGCTGTGAGCTTTAGAGCAATACAGTTCAAGAACAAATAATTTCTCAACAATTAGCTGGTAAGAGTGCTTTCTGCTACAGCATTTGAAAGCATCATCATCCAAGCTCTCCATTACCTTGAAGATGTTTTATTAGCCATCCTTTTGGTCCGTACTACATAAACAGACACGTGGAATTCGAGATAATACCAGAACCATGGAAAGATGGAATAGGAAGGATTAACTGTGCAGTCCTGCCTTGAAGCAAACATGCAAGCTGGTGATGAGGACTTCATTTTGCATGGGCCTCTGCTGAAAGTAATCGTGCTGTGTAAATGACAAATTAGTGATATATACATGACTGGGAGTCTGCCTGTGAATTAGCCAGATACCATTTTCTTAATGATTTCTTCTTTCAGATGACAAATCAAGCTATTTAATTGCTAAGCTGCTTTTGCTCATATCCCTGAGGAGCAGGTACCCAGGTAACCATGGAAACTCTATTTGTAGATGGGTGGGGAAAGGTAATCCCTTATTTCTTTATATAACAGAAAAATGAAGTCTGATACTACAACATTTTCTAAGAAATATTTCTCTTTTACACAGGCAATTTAAAAACAGAGGGAGACACCTTTCTGAAATTTCAGGGTCCATTATTCTACAGGAAGGATATTTAAAAGACATTTTGTTTGTTACTCATTTCTAAATAAACTGGATCAGAACAAAGCAGTGATTTTTCAACCTCGTGTCTCAAGGTGGGAGACTCACCCTATTTTAAAATTACCAAGAATAATCCCAAACTGATAAAAACACATGAACTCTTCACAATTAGAAACAAGTCAAACCACTTACATTTAAATTATAAGATAACTAAGAAACAAATCTAATGATTTTTTGCCATCAAAAAAACCCCAAAAAAGATATTAATAAAAAATTTGAAATTTTATTATTTCAAAACCAGTGTTTTTTAAAGATTTTTTTGGGATGAAAACTTCATAATCATCTACAAACTGCATGTAATATTTCCTCTTCACATAACTGAGGAGCCATGTAACTGGTGGGTCCTGTTTTGCAAGACCTACAGGTACTGGAGAAGGTGGAGTTATTTTAATATTCCGTCCCTCCTTATGTCTAAATTGGCATAACAGAACAAGAAGGAAAACACCATAGGCATCAAGGTTCAATGCTTGTAATGACTATGAAAATACATTTGACACTTGGCAAATCTTGAAGAAACATTTCATGTCTCTGCTTCAGTTTTTACATCTATAAAGAGGACTAGTTAATATTCGAATGCACTTTTTTTGCATTTGAGAACCCACAGCTGACTTGTCGACTTGTCTTCTTAAGCAATGTAAATATAAACTCTTTTCCTATGAATTCCACCTACTCTGCAACTGGACATGATGTTTTCATTCACAACGGGTTGAATAACTGATTGAGTTATTAAAAGATGTCATTCAAAAATATTATTCATACTTGAGTTATTTTACAGACTATCCAGTGCTTTTATATTTCACAAGTATGGGGATGTTATTATTTTGGCTCAAGATAGCCACCCCAAAAACGGTGCACATACTGAAAGCGAGCAGTAAATAGAGGAATACTGTCTGACCAATGTGCTGGAGTCAGAAATCCAAAGCACAAATCCTCCGAAAAACATCTGGTCCAGCATCAGCTGGAGGTTAAGAACCGTGTGACATCAGTCTCAGCAGGTTCTGTGTGAAACGAAAGTGATCCTGAGTGTCACGGTGACTGTCCCCACCCCCTCTCTAACAGGTTGTTTCTTTCCCTGCAGTACCTCTCCCTTCCTCTGGCATCAGTTAATGAGAGCTATTTTAGTTAGTCAGGACAGAAAAATCTTTTACAAGAACACCTGAGTTGGTGACCATGAGCACGTAGAATCAACACCTTCAGCAGCCAGTTATACATTGATTGTGGAACAGCTAATGAAACTACATACCCAGTCTGTGCTTTTCAAAGCAAAGTCTTAGCCATGCTGGGCACAGGAATTGTATTTTCTTTAGTTTCTTTACTTTGCAGGCATTTCTCATTATGCCTTTTTGTGTTTTTCTTTGCCAAGGAAGACAGAGAATTAATAATCCACAACAGCTCAAGACTGTCTAAAAAAACCTTTTTGTTATCCCCTCCTGCCAAATAAGTTAGTACCACACTATTCTTAGCAGCATTTTAACATAATACCAAATGGAGATTTGCCCCTTTTAGGGGAGAGCAAAAGTGGAATTTGCAGGAAAAAAAGGCAAAATTGAAATACTTATTTCATACTTCTTCCTTTTTCAATGTCTATACTAAGAAACTAAACACTTGAGCTAACACATGGGAATAATGTGACATGAAATCTCATCAGTCCACAATTGTTTACCAGTTAATTAGCTGCAACAACAGAAATTTATCATCCCTGGCCTGCAGATGCCTCCTTACCTACACAACAGGAACAACCATGAACATGATGGAACAACGCAGCTCTAAAGCCCAGTTTCACAAAAGACTTAAGCTGAGCTGAAATACATACTTGCTACCAAAAGGCCAGTTCCAAACCCTTCTCTGTCCTGGCTCTACATTCTTGTATCCACACATGTGCCAACATAAGCATTTACTATCACTGAGCTGACTGAAACCTAAACCTACCGAAAAACCCAAGTGGAAAGCTGATCCAGAGGCTGATTCAGCTGATCACAAAACTCCACGTGCAATACATCCCCTAAACAGTACAGGGAAGGACGTACAACTGGGAGAGCCAAGCTGCTTCTTTTGGTAGCAGTGGGGGCTTAACAAGGACATAAATCATCTGTGAAACCAGATCCTGGTTTGAGTGATTTGATCCTAAGGTAGATATTCAAAAGTGTATTTTATGCTTCTGTTAATACTGAATGTACTGCTAGCACAGTGTTACTAAAATCCAATTTCAGAGCCCTTACTGGAAAGCAAAAAGAACCTGTCTTCACTGCAAGATATATTTATTGAGAAAACATAGTTATGTGTAAATTAATGTCAAATGATTAGGAAAAGAGGAGCAACACATATACATCTCATAATAATGCCACTTACAAATGCTTTCAGAAGAGAAGTGATTTTTTTAAAAATGCTTGTCATTAGCCATTAATACTTTAACTTGCTTTCCAATAACTAAAAACTGGTATTTGTCATGATAGGTTTTGCATCATGTCTAGTTTTATTTTTCACTTGCCTTTTCCTGAAGAAAAGCTGCTTTTCTCATTAAAGGTTCTATCTTCAAGAAACTATTCTTATTGATGAAGGATGCTTAAATCCATTATCAATTTTGGATATGTGCTTAAGTGATTTCCAGAATAAAAACTAAAAGAAGCATTAACTCAATGGTACACAGTAAAAAAAAAAAAGGTAACTACCTAGCAATGAAGCAATGTCAACTTACCTGCAGACAACACAGGCTAATCCCATTTCCATAGCAAAGTCATCAGCACTGGTTTCCTCAAAGCTAGATAAATCAGGCATGGATAAATCCTTGCTCGTCTGAACTGTAATAGGAGAGGAACGAGCCTCTTGCTTCTCTACTTTGGGCTTCTTTGGTGCATCAGCTGCTTCAGCAGTATCCCCTTTTGTCTAATAAACATACACATACAAAATGTGAAAACTCAAGATGCTAGTAGATATTATTAAAATGAGAAAATAACTGGTACAATTAGATTAAAAGTATAAGGTGTACTTTACAGAGGACACATACAATGTATTTCTTTAATTACATATTTTCTTCAAAATATTTATGAACTAGAAGCTCAAGTCCACTTTTTGTACTTCACCTCAAAATCCTTGAAAAACCTTTGGGAAATCCACATTTCAAGTTGTTACATTTTAGTAACTTGTTATCATCATGATGATTTAAAACCCAGAATCACAGAACGGTTTGGCTTGGAAGGGACCTTTAAAAGGTCATGAAATCCAACTCCTCCCGCAGTCAAAAGGGAAAACAATCACAGAATAATTATAACAAGACTTTTGTTGGAGTGCCTAAAGACATGATTGGCTAATGCAGTTCACAGGTTACACACCACTAGATGAGCTGAGCTACAGAGACTGAAAAGGGAACCTTCTGTCTAAAACATCTTTGAGTTCATATACCAAGTTATCTCATTAGAGAACAAAAATCACTTACCTTATCAGATCTCTTTTCTGTTTCTTTTTTCACCTTTTCTGACGCAGTGGGCTTGCCATTGTTGTTGCCGGAGGGCAAACTAGAAGAAGCTTTAGGCTCTTGCTTAATAGGTTTGGTAACAGATACTTTTGGTTGCTCTGCTTCCTGAAAACAGAAAAAAAAATTGAAGGCAAACCCTACACTTGAGATACCTCCTGGTTTGTAATTAGTTAGATACCAGGATAGGCAAACAACATATCATACAACACTAATCATCTACACACACACTTTTTCAAAAAACATTTCTTAAATATCTTCATATCACATCAGTAAATTAGTGTGCATAAGATGCAGACAATTAGTAAGACCTCCCCTTACCACTCACCTTCCAGAGGGAAAGGTGCTCCTTTTCCAAAGACAGATCCTCTTTGGAACATTAATTAAAAAGGAAGACATTTCTGCTTTTAAAATTCAAAGAGATAATGAACACAAACTTTCAGATAATTCTGAGGACATAATTAAAAATAAGCCGAAAACATAATCTGACATCTGATGTAACCAGACATCAATATCTCATTCCTTCATGGAGAAAAATATTGACCTCTACTGAATCTCAGTCCTTATTCATCTACCAGATGAATAAATTTAGTCCTTATTCATCTACCAGATGAATAAATTTAGATCTCAACAGAAATCAATAGTTCTCATTAATAACGCCTTAGTGTTGGCAGTGGACAATGACCAACAGAGTCTGTAAATGAGTGATTAATCGCACCAATGCACAGGAGTAAAGTACCTCCTCTCAGCTGGTAAGCAGGCAGTGATTCTCTGCTCTGTACTGAGATAAGTCCTAAGCCCTGAGCTTCAGCCCTCCAAAGTTTGTCCACTTCCTGTTGCATGCAGGGTCAGAAACAGATTTCCTCATCTGCCAGACCGTGGTAACCCTGTGCTCCCTACTCTGTTCTCGGATTTCATGGTCAATCACAAATTAATCCTGTAGCCTGAAAATGCAAGGAAAGGAACCCTTACACTTTTTTCATTTCTGAGCTTTGCAGTTCAGCTGATACTGGAGACATACTAAAAAGAAGAGAAACAAAAGATTTCTTCCTCTGGCCTGAGCCTCAGTTTCACCTGAGGGCAGGTGACTGCCAGCCAAGTTGTTATTACAATTGGCTTCCCAAGCCTCTTTGCACTATTATTGATCTCTCTGCTTCCTCTCTAAACCACAAATCGCTTCTTTGAGCTCTGAGGGCACTCGAGAGTTTTGAGACCTGTGTTAGGGGGAACTGCAGTTTAGGTTTCAGGGAGTTGAACAGAAAGGAGTTAGACCACACAGTACAAGCATGATATATGCTGAGCAGTAATAGTGCCTTTTAGTTGTCTGGAACCATGTAGATGTAGAAATGAAATATTACTGATGCATCAGCATACAGACCATCATTATAACATACCAGGCTGACTTCCAGGCATCCTAGGGGAGGGCACTACCTCGTTATCCATATGGCAATACGCAGCAGTATGAGGATGTCCCCGCTTGGTTATTTCCATACACTAATCTTGGATTTAAATAGTCCCTCTAGCAGGTGTTCAGTGATTTTCGGTAGATGAAAAATAATGTTTGTCCACTGGATGGCAATGGTTCCAGCCTGCAAAGCATTTCTGCTTTGAACCATTTTGTGTTTTCATTCTCATATGACTTCATCAACAGAATTTCACGGAAAGGGACCCAGCTTTATCAGTAAATAGGTTGTTCTGTTTTGTATTTATCTGTGGCAAAAGTAATCTGCATTTTAAAGACCTTTTAGCTCTGAAATGTGACTGTAGAAATATATTAAGTTTGGGTTCACCTTACGCAGCATGTCTGATATAATGTTGAATATCTCTTTTAAAGGTCTTGGTACATCAACATGGTAGAGATTTTTTTTTCCCCATTAACTTCTGTTAATTGAATAGATTATGTTGCATAAAAGGGGAATGATGAAAATGAACATTCCATAATTACTTTTTCCTCAACTTCTGATTCTCTTTTAACTTTCCAGCTATAAAAGAGGAACTAGGAATAGAAGGAGCTCTCTAAAGGCATAAAACAAAATGACCCATGCTCTCTAACACTAATACCTTCTGAGATGGACGATAGCTTGACTCAGCTCCTCTGGCCAAAGACTCATCAAGAAGCGCTTTCAGCTTTTCTGCAGAGTCCTTACTCTTTGAATGCAAGAAGCCCAGGGCTTTCAGAAAAATGGGATCAAGCTCCAAGTTCACTGTAGCAGCCATAGTGGTATCTTCAGAGGAAGTTTAAACAAAACAAACAAAAACAAACAAACAAGAAAAAAGAAAATCAATGACAACTTTATTCATATGGAGCATAACTCAAATAGCATGTGGCTAACGGAAGATCTATTTTCTTTGCAAAATGCAATGACATTAAATCACAGGAAGGATTATATGGGAATTAATTATCACTGGAAGACGACTGATTGTGAACTCCAGAGCTGCAAAACTTGAATTTTACTTTACATCTGAAATTAAGTCAAATTAATTCTTAGGCGTATCTGATACTCAGAAACTAAACTCATCACATTTAGGTAAATGAAATAAATATTTCATATTCTTGATATTCCATATATAAAGAACAATTAAAAGTATGCAAAATAAACGTTAACTTCAAGAAAAGCAATTACTGCCCTTCTCCTTCACATTATTTGCACATACAGTTATTTCTAACTCATGGCTCATTGAAGAGTAACTAAAAAAATCTTCCTTGCAGAAAAATTAACTTTTAAAATTTCTGACAAAAACTCAGCTCATTGTAGCATATAATATAAGAGATATATACAGCTAGTATTTTATTTTATACAAATAAAATATCCAAAAAAGCACATTATCCATTTTTAAATTTAGCTGCAACAGGGAGAAAATTTATAACTTAGACAGTGACTTATCCACACCCCCATATGACAGTCTGAGTTTTAATGTCAAGTGATGACTATGACGAGCTTCAATATGCTACAGTGACAATGTAAATGGAACAAAGTGAGAAAAAGGTTAGAACTAATTAAAAAAATTATGTTTGCTTTGGAGCAATACATTCTGGCACTCTGGAACCTTCTCTGTTTGTTTCTTTAACAAAAGTTCTAAGGAACTGCATTTATATTGGAAATTGTACTTACAAAGATCTAACTTAATCAATAATTACCAATTAATAATTTAGGAAATAACATGGGAAGTTATGGGAACACATCAGGATGCTTTATGTTATTGTGTGGTTGTTTTGGGGTCCTTTTTTTTTTTAATCCAATAATCTATAAGATGTTCTTGAAAAGCCTTTCATCAGTTCTGCTCAAAAGCACTGGGCAGCTTTTTCAGCTGGAGCTTCCAAGGTTTTGCCTGATTAATTCCTTTTGATATTCATGGCAGTGAACTTTTACCTCTCTGGCCAAAGCACCAGCAGTGGCAGCCTGCTCCCTTAACACTTGCCTAGAAGTCCCTGGGAACCTTTATCTCATGCTGAGCTTTCACGAGACACCAGAGAATCACTTGACTGAGATCATCAAGGAGTTCAACATACAGTAGACTTCACAGGGATTTTATCAATGGACCCAGCAGAGAGTTAAGAATCCTCTTCAAGAGCCTCTTCTCTCTTCCTTAATCTTTGCTACTTGACAAATCATTTTCTGGTGGCCACAGAACTTCTGCTAGTAAGTGCTACACACCAGTTACTCTGCTTTTCCACTGATCAAGCACAGACTGCGGTGCAAGCCCCATCCAGACAATTCAGTCTCTCTCTGATGATTACAAAAAGTGAATTCACAGTGCATGGAAAGCAGATACCCTTTTTTAAAAGCATCTACCTCTGATACATGCTCAGGCTGCTCTTGAAATCTGTGGGTAGGTTATCTCCTCCACTTCTTTGTTCTGTGAATATGCCTTTTACAAGAGTCAGTACCACATACTCTTAAATTAGGACTCTGCTAAACTCTCTGTTGAATGAAAGTAGAATCAAAACACTAATTTCAAAAATTTTGTAGAATTCCCTGCTAAAAAAAAAATACTTTCAGTCCTTCTCTGAGGCTTTTACTAGGAATACACACTTGTGTACAGGAAGAACAGGTAGCCAAACAGCTGTTAGCAGCCCATTCAGGATGCCTGTAATATTGACAGAACGAGTGTAAACATACTAATTCCATTTTCATCTAGCTGAAAATTTCTTTCTACTCTAGCTTTTTAAAGACACATATTGAAAGGAACTGTCAACCCCAAATTTCAAAAGGGTTCTCTGTATTTATTCTTTTATTTGCTATGAAACTGCAGCAATGCTTTCTCTGTTCTCGAGGGTAAATTGTAATGTCATAGGCTACTTCAATTACAGCTAACATGACGTTTCTCAAGAGAAGTGAAGGAACTAGGCTTCCTAAACAGTTCCAGTATGCTCAGCTTAGGCATGTATTTTCAAATTAGAAAAAATGTATCTATTTGTGATGTAGAGAAAGGAAGTCTATTCAATGGAAAGATGAACACATCAATAGCTGTCTTAAAAACAGCATCACCTGAAAAAAGTAAATTGATAATTAAGCTCTCTTTACTGAACCATAACAACACAACTGCCAAACAGGCTAACACCAGTAATTGGCCTGGTCCAAAAGGCAAATTATTGCTTCTGGTAGTAGCCCTTTCCAGATGTTTACAGAATGAACAGTTTTTAAGTATAAAACAGTGGTTTGACACTTATAAACTGAAGATTCAATTACATTCATTCATATTTTCATTCATAAACTGCTCCTCTGACAGTGGAAGCAGCATACAGTAACGTGATAGCCTTGAGACAAGGACAGCAGAGTGTTCTAACAATGACGCCACAGGCTGCTCTGCAAGACAGACCTTGACTTTCTTCTTGAAGGGGAATCTTTGTGCAAGAAATAATTCAAATGCTGTTTAGGAAAAAAGGTGAGCATGACACTGTTTTTTCCGTAGCAGTTTGATAACACAGCTGTGAAATTAGATGACTGTGCTAAAAAAAAAACAACCCAGAGCAGAACTGGATTTGCTCAAAGCAAGTTCACCTTTCTTGCAATTCAGCATTCAGCCATCAGCCTAGCCCTAAAAACACTTTTCTCAACTTAGGTCTCTGTTTGGTACTTCTTCACTATTATGTAAGAACTGTTTGATGATGCATACACAAGACCAAATATAAGGCAACAAAACTCCCAGAAGCATCAGAGATAATATTAAAAATCCTACAATGAACAATCATAACCTCCCATACCTGCAGCGGTTTAAATCCCCGTGGGGAAAAAACAATGCTAATTAGTAGGTTGTTATTTTTAAAACATCCAGGAATTTTTGGATTCTCTCATTTCTCGAGCATACTTTTTTCTTCTGCCAAATACACACAAGTTTAATGGAGCACTATACAGAATACATGGTCCACCAATTTAATAGACTTTTTACATTTCTAGGATCTGGAGGACAAAAGAGCCCTCTTTTTTTTAATTTATTTGCCATCTACTATGTTGCGTGCCTACATATGTATTATCTTATTCATTCTAACTTGCAGTTAAAGGGATCTACTTCCATTACATTTTCAGATATGGTCGTATTATTATCCATCTGTTTCAGAACTCCTGTTTCTATTATTTTCTGAGACAGGTGTACTACTGAAGATATTTTTCCAAAAAAGCACACACATTCAATTTATACTGCAATGCTATTATCAAACCCATTCTTTTACAAACTCAAAAATATTTTTATTTTTCACTGACACTGATGATTAAAAGGATGGATATGAGTGAAAGTGATATTTTCAGCTACCCTCAACATGTGTAGCAGTTAACTTAAAACCCAGTCACATGACACAACGGCACATAATTCCTGCCAACACTCTCAGTACACTGTTTATCAATAATTAATTTATCATGATAATATCAATTCACTTTTTCCCTCTCCTTTAGATTTTTCTGTTCCTCAGAACTTACTCTCTCCCTGACTAATCAGTGACAGTGGCAGATTTTGCTTAGTTACCAATAATGCCTTTTCCAGATCACTTTCAGATGTAATGTAAGTCTTAAGACAGTATATCAAGGAAAATCTTAAAAGCAGGAAAAAGCAAACTTCTACTTTCAGTTTTTGCTTTTGTGTCTTAATCAGGACTTGATTCATGACAGCGTAATTTCTCAGTTACCTTCCACGAGGGACATTTCAAAACTCACACACTTCAGTAGTCTGGAAAACTGTATTAATCAGAACAACTGCATTAATCGGTTCTCATTTATCTGTCATCTTCTCCAAAGAATCTTCTAAGACTAGAATAAAATTTCCTGCTGTGGAGTTACTAGTACCGGTATCCTTAATTTTACATTCTACTCTACACCATATTTCATGATGTACTTTTAAATTAATATTTCAATCAATATCACTGTAATCCATTTATCCAAAATGTCTAAGATTACACTATTTGCTGTTTTCTCCTCAGAAGCAGTGAATTATTTAAGAATCACAGAATCATTTAGTTTGGAAGGGATGTCACGTGGTCACCCTGTGCAAACTCCTGTTCAAAGTGAAGTAAGCACTGAATTCAGACCAGTTTGCCCAGGACTTTTCCAGTTGGATCCTGAAAACCTCCAAATACAGGAATGTGAAAAACCTTATGGGCAACCTGTCCCAGTGCCTTACTGCCCCCATTTCCTTGCTTGGAATTGGAAATTCTAACTTGTGCTCTCTCTCATTCCCCCTCAAAGCATCTGACTACAAAGACTGGCTCTATCTTTTCGAAAATCTCCTTGGGTCTATAAAGGCTTCCATTAGGTCCCCTTAAGCCCCTGGTAGATGGCATCCAACACTCCCTTCACCTTCAGATCTAGCTATTTTGCCACAGAGGACAAGCCAGGTAGTCAGGCATGACTTATCCTTGGTAGATCTTGAGATGGCTCTCCCTAGTCTCCACCTGCTCCTCCTTATGCCTACAAATGGCCTCCTCCACGACCTTTCCAGATGGAAGGAGCACAGCCTGTAGTTCTCTTGCTCGTCCCTCTTGCCCTTTTTGAAGATGAGCATAAAATTTGCCTTTTCTCCAGTCTGTGGGATCTCACCCAATCTCACGGCCTTAAAAAGATGACAAAAAGCAGCTCTGTGAAGATGGAGCTGCAGATGGTGTTTCCATACTTGCCACTGCTCACTGGTTTAAGTCACTGGCAAACTGAGTTTACCTCTAGTGCCGTTTTCACCTTTCCTTAATCCAACGTATAATGGAACTTATCAAGCTTATAAATTCCTGGATATCATCCTCCTGGAGACTTCTCAGTGACAAATACAAACCTTAGTTAAAACTGAATTTCCGAAATAGTTACACTAAAGCCACAACACCACTCTCTGCAACCTACTTGCTGCGAATCTCTCCCTGAGATTTCCCCTTAGGAACGAACAAAAGGCCTCTCCCCTAAAAGCAACACTTTAAAATGGTTAAGATAATTAAAAAAAAAAAACCACCCTCCTGCCCCCGTTACCGCCCTGCACCGAGTTGCTCCGGGCGTGCCCTGTTCCCGGGAGAGACCATCCTGGCATTCCCCGGGACAGCGCGGCGGCCGCCGCCCCTCCCGGCCCCACAGGAGACCCGGAGCTCACCCCAGGGCCGAGGGTAAGAGCCGCCAGGTGTGGTATGGGCTCCACTCTTCCTCCTCCAAAACCCTTCTTCCTCCCTCCCCCCAACCCCTCTTTTCCTCCTCTCCCCTAACCCCCCTCTTCCCCCTTCCAACCTCCGTCCTTCCTCCTCCCAAACCCCTTCTTCCAGCCCCCCAAACCCCTTCTTTCTCCTCCCAAACACCTTCTCCCCAGACTCATCCTCCGCCCAAACCCCCTTTTCTTTCCCCCCAAGCCACCCTTTCCTCCTCCCAAACCCCCTCTTCTCCCAGGCTCCCTCCTCCCGATACCCGCAGGGCCGCCCGCTGGGGTCTCACCGGAGGCGAGGAGGAGGAAGAGGAGGAAGAAGGCGCCGAAGCGGGTCCGCCGCCGCGCCGGTCCCCCCGCGCCCCGAGGCCGGCAGGCGGCAGTTCCGGGCGGTGCGCGGGGCCGGGGCAGGAGAAGGCGGAGCCGGGCCGGGCCGGGTAAGGAACAACAGACCGAAACGAGGGGGGAAGGGGTCGGAGTGGAATCAACGGGCCCGGTTTTGGCGGGGAGGCAGAGCGCTGAGAGGAGCTGGGAGCGGAGGTTTAGCGGAGCGGGTGGGTGAGGGAGGTCTCTCCCGGCGGTGTTGTTCGCTGCCACAGCCGAGTTCCAGCGCGCTGCCTCCCTGAGTTCTGGTCCTAGTCTCCGTGACCTGTGTCCTGTCTTCCTGAACCGTCCGCAGCTTCCACTTTATCGGTAGACCTGTCCGAAGCTCTTCATGGAAAGCTTCTGGGCTCCCTCGAGGGTGCAGTGGTGGCCCTGGACTCATACAGCGAATGGGTCGTCTGGATAGAAATGTATCTCCATCCTCCAAAGTTATGTGCCTTAAGGCACACATATTGCTTTGCACTAAGTTAAATATTGGCTGCGTTTTTAAATAACATTATACTGGACGTTTCTGAAGCCTTAATGCATCTGTTGTAGCAGAAGTTCTGTGTTGCCCTGTAGTAATCATCAAATGAATGATGTCTTTCATTCTGAAAGGAATGAATTTCATTCAAACTGAAAGGAAGAGGATGCTTATGTACTTATTTATTAATTTTGAATTTTTTAGGTTTTCATTTTCACGGGAAACGCAGTGATTTTATTACATTGTTAACATGGCAGCTGAGTGAACCTAAGTAATCTGTCGTTTAGTGCATGTTGAAAGGGAAGAGAAAGTGGTAAAACCCAGTACAGTTAGTCAACATTATACTTATGTAATGTTTATTGTTTTATAGCCACGGTGACTTTTATACCAAAGGTAGACAACATTTATCTAATGCATTTATATTGCATTATGGTTCAAATCCTGTATTGGTCATTGCTTCTCATTTCCTCTCTTTCAAATAGTGACCATTGTAAATAAGGCCAGTAGAATAAAAAGCCACCTCTTCCCACAGAATTTATTGTCTGATTACAGAAAAAAAGTGCTGGGAAAAATGCTGTGAGCAAATAGTGCAATGTCGTGTTAGGTTTTTGTCAGTTCTGTGTTGCATGTTTTGTTTTATTGTGTATGCTTGTGCCTGTTTTTGTCTTAGTGAGCTGCCAAGGGATTAATCAACGTATCACATTTAATGGAAGGGTAGCAGTTCTGTGAAAACACTTAAGTGAGAACAGGCAGCCAGGCAGGCTGTTGAGACGAAAGGCTGTACATAAATTCACAAGGAAGGTAGACTCTACAGAGCCAAAACACTGTGGAAAAACACCTGTCTTGGGAACAAAAAGTATAGGGAACAACTTTATAAATGTCAGTGCTTAGAGACGAGATATTAGGAGGAATTCTCTGAAGTAAAAGATGTGAGGGGGTAGGATATGGCAGTGTACGGCTGTACAGTTTGGTTGAGGTGACAGTTCAAGGCGGCCTTATCTTCTCACAAGAAATAATATGGAAACACAGGTAAAGTCACTTATAGACAGAAATCCTGGACAGATTAATTTAGTTTCTCTTCTGTGAGAGACTTGAGAACAAAATTAACCTGATTGTAATTTTCATTGTCATAGACTGGCCTTAAAAAAATCCCAAAATCTCACAACCAGCCAAATAACAAATCCTTTAAGAAAAATGTCTGGTTTTTAGACTTTCTCTAGGACAGACTTCCTGTGTGACAGTAAACTAAAAATTCTCTTTGTGCTTCTATTTTTTCAAATGTGTAATGGTAACACAGGAAACTTGCACCTTGCAAGGTTTTTTGGGAGACTTGCAGTTACCGTTGTGATGAAGGGACACGGAGGCTTTTACAATAACCAGCAATACAAATAAATACAGACTGAATGCTTTGCTATTCTAATGAAATACGTAAGGAGGTCATGACAGAAGCCCATTTTGTTAAAATTACTTTTTAAAGTTCTTATGGAAATTAAAGTATTAATTAATTAAAGTATTGGCTCTACTGATGTTGAAAAGCTCAGCAGAGTGGGGTTTTCCAAAGCTTGCTCTCCTTTCCTTTTAAAGTTTGTTCTCCTGGTCTGAAAAGTATGTAACTTTAAACATCCCTGTAGTTGCCATTTCCTGTTCTTTGGGGCTTTGGGAATTAAAAATATAATAGTGTAGTGTATGAGAAGAATTTAGGACTATATTTTAAAAT